GTTTGCAGAAGATCATCCAACACTGGCTCTAGCAGTATCTTGAGAGGGAGCTATGGGGGTTACAGACTGGATTCAGATGAGGACATGGAAAAGGGATGTTATTGTTGATGTCAGGTAGCTCTTAGCTGAAAGCAGAGAATATCAGAAAGAGGTTTACTTGTGTTTGATTGACTGTGCTAAGGTATTTGACTGTGCTGACCATAAACTATGGACAGCCTTGAGAAGAATGGGAATCCCAGAACCCTACATTGTGCTCATGCAGAACCTGTACATGGATCAAGAGGCAATTGTGTGAACAGAACAAGGGGATACTGCATGCATTAAAATCAGAAAAGGTGTAGGTCAGGGTTGTATCCTCTCACCATACTTAATCAATCTGTATACTGAGCAAATAATCAGGGGGGTTAGATCATATGAAGAAGAATGTGGCATCAGGATTGGAGGAAGGCTTATTAACAACCTAGGATATGCAGATGACACAACCTTGCTTACAGAAAGTAAAGAGAACTTAAAGCATTTGTTGATGAAGATAAAGAATTTTAGCCTTCCACATAGATTACAACTCAATGTAAAGAAAACCAAAATCCTCACAACTGACCCAATAGGTCACATCATGATAAATGGAGAAATGAGTGACTTTGTCAACAATTTCTTCTTACTTGGACAATCAATGCTCATGGAAGCAGCAGTCAACAGATCAAACAGTACATTGCACTGAGTAAATCTGGGGCACAAGACCTCTTTAAAGTATTGAAAAGCAAGGATGATACTTGAGGACTAGGGTGCACCTGATGAAACCATGATATTTTCAATTGTCTTCTATGCATGGGAAAGTTGGACATTAAATAAGGAAGACCAAAGAAGAAGCAATACATTTGAATTGTGGTGCTGGCAAAGAATATTGAAAGTACTATGGGGTGCCAAAAGCACAAATCTGTCTTGGAAGTAGAACCAGAGTGCTCCTTAGAGGCAAGAATGTCAAGCCTTCATGTCACATACTTTGGATATGTTATCAGGAGAGACCAGTCCCTAGAGATGGACATCAAGCTTGGTAAAGTAGCAGGACAGTGAAAAACAGGAAGAACTTAGGCAAGATGGATTGACGCAGAGGCTACATCGATGGGTTCAAATATAAAAACAATTGTGAGGGTGGTACAGGACCAGGCAGTGTTTTCTTCTATTGTATATTAGGTTGCTATGGTTGCAACTGACTCAAAGGCACCTAACAATGCATATGACTGTGTAGTGTTAGTGAACCTACCTGTGCTGATAAACATCACATCATAGATGGTCCCGTCCAGAGCCTGCACCCTGTCCACCACAATCTGAGTGTAGTTCACATCCTTCTTAATTAGCAGAGGCTTGCCCTCATATGGCATGATGGAGTCATCCATTAGAGGGTGGTCTTTCACGAACTGCAGCGTCTTGTCAGGTAAGTTCAGGGAGCTGGTAAAGTTGGCTGCCCTGGCCTCACTGTTGATGCACTGTGGGAGAAATCACATGCCCTAAGTAGTGGACCATGGCTACGCACTGGAACAAGGACAGAACCACACCTCCACACTATCACACTATCATGGTGTAAGATTCAAGAAAAACAAAGTGGTTCTCTTGCAAAAAGGGGACGTGATGGAATCCTGAGGTGCCTTTCTCCCAGGAGTCTGGAGTCCTGGTTATAAAGCATAAGGTTAATTCCACTTCTCTTTTACCTAGAAGATAATTTCACTTCCTGACATTTCCAGGAACTCCTGTTATGAATTATAGTTGTCCCTGAATGTTTAAGAATTTGTAGATAGTGGCAACAGGTGCATATGTTCTTATTTAACCTTCATTTATTCCAAGAAAATTCCAGAAGCCTTTTCAATGATTTCAAAGCTACACGTGCAGCAAGTGAAAGTAATTGTGATAAATAATCTGTTGAAAATAGGGGCTAGTTCAATAGTTTCAAAGACATTTGCACATTAAATGTCATGTATGAGTTGTCCAAAAGTCAGACACTCCACACCTGTGGACTACCTGTAATTAA